GCTCAAGTTGGAGAGCTCTCTCTACGAGACGTTTGAGCGTGTGGCTGTGTCTCCTGGCAAGGCCGGACGAGGGAGACCCGCGCAGTACGAGACCCACCTTGGCTGCCTGGAGTCCATTCGACGGGGAGCCGATGGCCGCTTCGTGGTGCAGTCAGAGCCCGAGATCTCGCCCCACCCACCTCCTCCTGCACCCCCCGAGCCTTGCCCCCAAGCCCAGCGGGTTCAGGCCAGGGCCCCGCTGAGGCCAAAGGCCCATGGTCAGGCCCGGCCCCGGCCTCGGGCCTGCTACTTCGCCACGGCAACCAGTAGCCCTGCTGACCAATCCCAGCCTCCCCCCAGCCCTGACGTCAGCCCCATCGCCCCTCGGGCCCTCCCAGTTCCGTCCCAGCCAGCCTCGCGTCCCTCCGAGGGCCCAGCCCCGGGGCCCACCTGCAGCCAGCTCGGGCTAGGCCCCGTTGCCGACAGCGACAGAGGCCCTGACCGCGGCTCCTCTTTCCCGCGTTCCCTGGAGTCAGTTCCCGCGGGGGGCCTGAGCCCGGGCCACGGCAAGGCTGCCCTGTCACTCCCAGGAGGGCGAGGGGAGGCCTCGGGGCCTGGGCCCACCAAGCGCGATGGTCCCCAGGCCGCACTGTGCTCTGGGAGCCGGCCCTTGCTCCGAGAAGGATCCGCGAGCTGCTGTCCCTCCTCAGCAAACTCAGAAGCCCCAGCTAGCTCTCTCGCCCCCAACAGCAGCGGCTACCACAGCAGGGAGGCCTCCTGGAGGCTCTCGGAAGACAGGAGCCATAACAAGAGGTAGGATCGAGTGTTTGACGTCTACTACATGTTCATTCGAGGCCTTTAAGGATAGGATAGATGAAGGAGAACCAATCGATGTAATATATTTAGATTTTCATGAAGGCATTTGATGAGGCACCGCACATTAAGCAACTTAAAAAGACAAGCGCTCATGGTGTTGGGTAAGCGATAGAGGATTGGTTCACTCATAGCAGGCAGAGAGTTGACATCTTGGGGGCCATGTTCGAGATGGCAATCTGAAACTAGTGGAAGGCCCCAAGGATCAGTGCTGGGGCCACGATTACTTACAATATCTCTTCATGATTCGGATGAGGAAAGTCAATGTACAAGGTGGTTAGCACCGCTGCCTCACGGCACCAGGGACCCGGGATCGATTCCACCCTCGGCCGACTGCCTGTGCGTGTTTCCTCCGGGTGCTCCAGTTTCCTCCCACAGTCCAAAGATGTGCAGGTTAGGGTGGATTGGCCGTGCTAAATTGTCCCATAATGCCCAGGGATGTGCAGGTTAGGGTGGATTGGCCGTGCTAAATTGTCCCATAGTGCCCAGGGATGTGCATGTTAGGGTGGATTGGCCATGCTAAATTGTCCCATAGTGCCCAGGGATGTGCAGGTTAGGGTGGATTGGCCGTGCTA